TATAGATATATTATTCGAACAAATCAACTCGAAGGTAGAGGTAATTCAATTTACTTATGAATTGGAAAGTCAGGAAGGGGAACTTCCAATGTTAGATTGCAACGTAAAAAGGAAAGAAGATGGGAAGTTAAACACTAGTGTTTACAGAAAACCCACACATTCAAACAGATATTTGGACTTTCGATCATCCCATCCTATGTCAGTGCAAAAAGGAGGATTGGTGAAATGTTTAAGTGACAGAGCACAAAAACTAAGTAGTACCTAGGAAAATCTACGACAAGGAGTGATACACATGAAAGAAGCCTTGAAACTTAATAATTACCCGGATAAATTAGTCAGGAAATATGTAAGGAAATGTAAAAATAAAATAAATAATGATAGTAGCGATAGCGATAATAATAATATTAATGTCGACGCCAACAATAAGGAATCTAGATCATCAGTAGTAATTCCATACAAAGAAGGAACCTCGGAAGCCTTACGCAGAATTCTTAACAAGGCAAGAATAAAAGTGGCTGGCATTCAAAACCACAAACTCAATTAGAAACAAGCTTTGTCGGTTAAAGGATCCTGCCAGTGGAGCGTTTAAAACAAAACAATTTAGTTTATCTAATACCCTGCCTGCAACTATTGTCAGGTCATATACATAGGTTAAACTAGTAGAACAGGGCAGTCAGACTAGCCGAACATAAAAACCTAGCAAAATCTAGATTGGTTGACCCAAATAAGATAAGAAATCTAAAGAATAGTTCAGCTGTACCACTCACTACATGCAATTACACACAACCATACAATAGGATGGGTGGGATAAGATGATAGTTTTGAAATCTAATGTCACAGGGTGGAGGGAGAGATTGATAACTGAGGCTTTATTTATCGAATCAACTGCAAATACATGTAATAGGAATGATTCAACACCTGTCCATCCAGATATCTGGAAAATTCTACTACCCCTACGACGATAAATAGGAGAGGACAAAGAAAGCTGTAAAACTCAAGTTTCAAAGTCGTGTGATTACAACTGATGAGATGATTATGAACAATAAATTTTGTTCGAAACTGCGTCATTCAGTAAATAATTCTGTTTCATTCACTGTGTGATACATCTAATAAACAGACTAATATGGAATACTGTTTCTAATATTCTCTTCATGTTACATAGTAAGAAGGAAAATAATTACGCATCAGTATTTTGACATTTTGCAGTAATACTAGCGGAAATCATATATCGATATGAAAATAAAATTTTTATAAAAAGATTATTAGAAATGCAGAAAACGACATTATTAATGATAAGAAGAGTAAAACAGTAGCCGTTTATATTTATCATTGCGTAGGAGGCTGGTAATTTGACGTCTATCTTGTTTTCATCACATAAAATGTGTGCCGAATAAGGTATCATTGAATTTTTGCATTTAAACTAGTGTCTGCATAAAGTCTTTTATAATTGCTGCTAGTTATACCTGAAAAGATACAAAAACGTAACTTGTGAATAAAGAGGCTGTTGACAGTCTGACGAAATGATTTTTGTTTGTTAATTTCTTCGAATGTTCGTCAATGAAAATACCAACGAATTGACTTAGTAGTATACTACACGTCCAACCGATAGCTTTTGAATTCCTTCGCAATGTAACAAAGGTTTTCTTAGGTAGCTCAGGAAAGATTAAGCAAGCGCAGTAAAGAAGGATAAGTAGAATGTAAGGGTTAATAAACTGTACAGATCAACAGGATATGGAACGGTCAGGAGAGATCAGAAAAGTGACTTATTTCAAATTCTCATTCAGACGTTTAGAAGACAAAATAAATTTTCAGCAAGGAATATTCTTTTCGATAAATTCATCTTTCGGCTCTACCATTATATATTATTATTCTCTTGGGTTCCTTGTGGAACATCTCCACTTTCTTCTGTTTTCTGCTGTCCGCTACAGCTGGATCCACGATTACCCAAACTCTCTCATCTCCCGCTCGCCACACGATCTCCTCCATGTTACCCTAGGAAACCCACTTGAATTCCACTTGAGCAATCGCCTGGTGCGCGATGTCATTTCACGGTTTCCTTTATGTATTACTGATCAATCTCCATATCCTCCTACATATTTGTTGAGCAATCAGCTTTTGATTGGTTTGTTCCCAGCCAGAGTTTCTTGTTACTTATTCTTTCTCGTCAGCTGGCCATTTGATCTACAACATGGAGTCAGTAAAGTGGGCAGCTGTTGAAAAAAAGTCTGCCGTAACCTGTTTGAAATCCTTTTCGTGAGACACAGTGCAAGTTTCTGACCCGTAAATAAGGACAGACTTGACATTGGTGTTGAAAATCTGAATCTTGTTCTGGATGTTGCTGAGTGAGTACAGAAGATTTTCAAACTGGTTTTAGGTTGATGAAGGCGTATCTTGACCTTCCGATTCCGGCTGGCTGACTTTGACATATTCATCTCTTCCGACTACCTGTGATTGAAACCGTGTTTCCTAGCCAGATAAGCGAAGGAAGTAACCTCTGTAAAATATCTCCCGTTGATGGTGATTGGTGCTGGCTGTTTGTTGTTCCTATTGGTTGGTTATTTTCATTACCACCTTCTTCCCCACGTTCACCTGCAGTCCTGCCTTCGCTGCTTTTTCAGCCAGTTTGTTGGTTTTCGCAGACAAGTCTTCGAGTTTGTGTGACATTAAACATAAGTCATCTGTGAAATCCAGATCTTCTTATCGGTCTATCGTTTCACTGTCTCCTCGTTCCCCACAGTCTGACACACAATCCAGTCCACCACAATTAAGAACAGGCAGCCTTGTCTCACTCCTATATTCATTCCAGATGCCTCGCTGTGGATCACTTGACATGTGCTATTGTCATATACAGCCAGCCAGCTGTTGAATGAGGTTGATAAAAACTTAGCCACTGCACGCCACAGTGTTGAAGTAGTTTCGAAATTGCTTCTCAGTCAACACTGTCGATCTCCTTTTCAAAGTCGATGAAACTGAGGTAGACGTTTGACTACCGTTCTATGCTTTGTGCTGTGATGACGATGCGTAGAGTTGCAATTTCATCAGCACATGAAGAGCCTTTCCTAAATTCAGACAATTACATATAAATATACACTATATTCTAAAATAATCATTAGTAACAATATTGATGTCTTTTTTAAATAGTATTGATTTGTTAAGATCAATCCAATTACAATCCTAGAAAGATACAAGAAAGTTATAATACGCATAAAAATATAATACTAAACTGGATAGCAGATAAAATTAAGAAAATCCATACAATAATTAAAGATATTTAAAACACTGATGGCCTAACGAGAAATTTATCGAAAAAAATATTCTGTGTCTGAACTTTCTTTAGTTCAAATTACTGAACGGTCTACCTAGTTCCTACTTCAGCGCCCTATATGTTACAAGAATCAGGGAAACGAACTAGTTCATGTCGTGTCTGAAAATTAGGCTGACAACTTGACATTTGTAAATGATTCAGCCTAAAACTATATGTAAATCCCTTATAAGAAGCTGATCATTTCGGCAAAGTAACACACACGGAAACAATCAGATTATCGCTAAATTTAACATATTTAGCTTCATCGTAATGAATCAGGTCATATAAGAAGAAACTAAAACGAAAAGGAGAAAGAAGAGCACCCCGACGGACACAGAATTCAGTAAGTTAAGCAGTAGAAGAATTTCCTTCACACACACATTGTACCATTTCCTAGCATAAGAACAAGAATGCAACCAGTCAATAATCTAGTACACAGACTGTACCACAGTGGGTTTATCTTAAAGAAGACGCATTGGCACAAAGTTAAGAGCGAATGTATAAACCAAGAAAGCCCACCAAAGATATTTAGCGTTCATGTCCATACCTCGAAGAGTACTGTGATGTTAGGCAGCAGCAGCATGTAAACTGAATGTGGTATATTTATTACGAGTTTGACCACGGATTGATATCAGTTTGATAACCATTGAAAACCTGCGAGTACTGGACAAATGTTTCGTTCTAGTTTGGAACTCTTCAGCAGTACGCAACCACCGGGGTTCGAATGCAGGACCTTCTGGTTGCAAGGCCAGCGAACTCGTAGACCACTGGAACCCAATACAATAGCCAGCCCATAAATTCTAACTTCTGCCAATTCACGACATATCGATAAGATGCTAACTGGCGACTGACCCTATTCGGGTAGGTAGTCACTTGGGGTTCTAGTGAGAAGTCGTGACCAGTAGGGTGCAGCAGATCGGGTGTGCGGACAAATACTCGCCGAAGACATTGGCTGGTGGTTGCTCTGTGTCGTGAATTGGCAGAAGTTAGAATTCATAGGCAGGCCACTGGATCGGGTCTCAGTGGATAAATGGTCTTCGAGCTCACAGGCCTTGTAACCAGAAGGTCCTGGACTCGAACCCCGGTGGGTACGTACTGTGAAGAGTTTTAAACTAGGACGAAACATTTGTCCAGCACTTCCTGACAGGTTTTCCAATGGTTCTGTAAGTGATATCAGCTCATGATGAAATCCTATAACCAATGTATTCTTTTCTGTTATGTTCTTTAGTATAGTGAACCTAAAGGTAAATAAAAATAATTTCAATCTACATACAATCGAATTAATGCTAAATAGCTTAAGAGAGGATTCAGTATAAGACTATAAGTTACATCGTATTAATATTGACTTATGATACTACACAGTCACCCGTGCCAAATTCTCAGAATAAGAAAATAAACTTATGACCCACTAATAAAAGTTGTATTATCAAATCAGTTAATAATAATCATTTGGCTTAAGGGTTGAACTTTAAGCCAATAAATTCCAGGTCTGATTCCCGTTTCACCTACTTTATTTAACCTTAGGTGTAGGTAGGGTAGTGATAGTGACTGACTGATTCATTCCGTATGACTGACTTGTAACAACAGAGTAATTTATTCATGTAAAGCAGAGTATTTATAATTCTTTTAGGGTTTCTTTTAATAAAACAACATATTTTTGTTAAATAACCTTTAATCTTTTAATTTCATCAATTAGATACCCTGGATTGAACAAAACATTGTATGCTTGGAGTGCGCTAAATTTCTTCTGGTTCATCATCAGTCAAAATACAAGTGAGTATTTCTAAAGATGTTTTTTGTTGTTGTTTGTGTGTTTTTGTTGCTTAAAACAACCATGGTAAGTGGTCAGTTTTATAATGATTACCATTCAATACCTATTGTTATTATTATTGTTCCCTTGGGTTCTAGTGGAACATAGGGATTCAACTGCACGTCTCCACTTGCTTCTGTCTTCCTTCTGCTGTACTTGTCACCTGAATCCATGATAGTCTTTACTGTTTGAACTCCTCTTCACACGATCTCCTCCATGTCACCCACCCTTGCACTGACGTCCCACTTGCCGCTTCCCTTTTGGCCTGGTTCCACTCGAGCAATGGCCTGACGCGCGCGCGATGTCATTCAGCGGCGGCCTTCTCAGCCACGAGTGTCCAATCCATCTCCACTTTCTCCTGCATATTTGTTGGGTGGCGACTGGTTCTTGTTATGTTTGTTTGTTCCCATAGTTTCTTGTTGGCGATTCTTTTCGGCTTGGCCATCTGATCTTCAGTATAGATCCAGCGAAGACAGTTTTTGGTTGATAAGGTCTGTTACAGGCTGTTGGAAATATTTTTGTGACCCGCCCGCCAACTTTCTGATCCGTATAGAAGAGCTGACTGACTTGACGTTTGTATTGAAAATCCGATCGAACTTTGTTGTTGATTCTGAGTGACGAAGATTTCCAGATTGGTTTCAGGTTGGATGATGAATGTGTTTCTCACCTTCCCGATTCTGGCTCGATTTGACATCCTCGTCCGTTCCAACTTGTTGAGACAATGCTCCCTAGATAAGTGAAGTGAATGAAGTGATCTCTTTCAAATCCCTCGCGTTGATGGTGATTGGAGCTGGGTGTTGCTGTTGTTGTTGTTGTTGGTTGGTTGGTTATTTTCATAACCTCCGTCTTGTCTATATTCAATACCCATACTTCAGTAGAATTGCTAAGAAAGGGAATACAGGAGTTTCAATGACATTTGACCAAAAATTTGACATTAAATGTTGGCATGACAGTCTAATTTGAGGTTGTTGACCTAATGAGCTTAAATATTTCACTGCTAATCAGTAGATCCCATTTTAGACTATGGCAAGCGTATTTTTTTCTTCATCTGCCATCTCATAAAGTATGATTTAAGGTGTATACCGTACAGCAGAATTGATTCGTTTATTTCTGTAGACTCTTTTTTGAGATAAAATGTATCACTGTAAAAATTAATATTTTCCAACATAGAAATTAGATTAAATTATAAGACTGTACAATATCTTTAAGACTTATAGGAGAAAACCAACAAACTAGTTGAAAAAGCAACGAAGATAGGACTCCAGCTGAACGTAGAGAAGAGGGTGACGATGAAGATACCCACTAACCAACAGCATCAACACCCAGCACCAATCGCCATCAACTGCAGAGATTTGACATCGGTTACTTCCTTCACTTATCTGGCCAGAAAACATGGTTTCAGCCACAGGTAATTGGAAGGGTACACGCTGAGGAAACTGTCTAATGACATCACGCTCCAGGCCTAATCTCTGATGAGACCCAAATGAGAAACTACCAATTGGGAGTAGGTGTGAGCGTGACATGGAGGAAGTAGTGTAGTGAGAAGGAGATGAGAGATTATCGTAAATCGTAGGCCAAGCTAAAGAGGACAACAGAAAATATAACCAACTGGAGACATACTGTTGGAGGCCCTATGTTCCACTCAGAACCCAAGGGGAACAATAATAATAAAATAAGCTTGCCTATTTGGCTTTTCCAAAGCATTCATGTATATGTTTTAATGAAGTGAAAACAAACAGTTTGTGCAGCATAAGATAGTATCATCGTTTATTTCGTCGGTTTCTCATCAGCGATGTACAGCCTAAAGGATTAATTAAGTTTATGTACAGAGCAGTTTTAACGTACCTGCAAAGGTGACGCAATGTCTGTTAACGGAGAACTTCAGAATTAATAAACTGTGCTCAAGTATTACACTTATATAATCTATGCACTTGACGGTCAAGTTTAAATAAAACAAAACAGAAATATAAAAATATATGAATACAAAGGAAAAGAGGTCGTGCAACAAAATTCAGGCGATGGATAATTTATGTTATTTTTGATTACAGCTTGATTCCACACTGTATTTTTGGTACAAGTATGGAATTTTCAGCGTGGATATCGGTAGCCCAAAATTCGCAGGCCGACCATAGATATCAAGTGTGCGTCGGCGTGGGCTCGAACCCCGGGCCATGTGCATGGTCGGCGAGAGTCCTAACCACTGTGCCATCGATAAGTAATTAATGAGTAGTATAATAGTGTGATGAGTTCAAATGAAATAATAGAACTACATTATAAAAAAGAGGAAAAGGTTAAGAGCAAAGATTACGCAGTCAAATGACATTGGGAATAAAGATATCAGGGAAAGTCAAATGGCTTCTTTCTTAACATTCAATTGTGCCCTGTAATACAATTTATACTTAGTACTAAAATGTAGAAAGCAACTTACTACGAGGGAAAGACGGCCATAATAATGAAAGATATAATTTCTTTTTATATAGTGATGATTATTGCCTTTATTGGTTTACGGGCTTAATTTAGATTGATGGTGACCAATGGTGCAATGTAGTAGGCGCGTTTCGTCCCATTTACGGGCCCGTCATTTACAGATATGTTTTATTCCTTGACGTTCCCAGTGGGACATAGGGCTTCAGGCTGCAGCTTGAAGTTTCGGTAGCTGTGGTTTTAATTCTACTAGGTGTGGTTGCTAACCTCATGCCCAGCCGTGCCTCTTTACTGGTCTTGTAGTCGGCATAGCGAGGTTAAAGAGTGCCTCGACCGGGGTCCGAACCCCTGACCACGTCCACAGGTGCTGAGGGTTCTACCGCTGCACCACCGAGTGAGTAACAGTGATCCTGCTGAGACTGGAACCCAACACCAATTGTTTCAAATGCCAAAGAGCTATTCGTTCGGCCGCACTGGGGGTTCCAGAGTAAGATGAAACACACATCCTACATAATTAATCAAAATAGCACTGTATAAGTTTCGGGATGTTGTCGATGCTTCTGTATTAAGAGCCAACGGGAAATTAAAAATGTAAGTCTTTAATAAACTATGAAGTGTAAAGAAAATTCCATTCTACACAAATGTGAATATTCCTGTTGATAGATATGCGACTCGTAGCTATTAGTTCTCAGGTTCGAATGCTGCCCGACCCACTTCAGCCTGAGCAACAGTTAGGTTTAATTATGCCGCAAACATAGAATGACACATGAGAGATTTGTTCCAGGCTAGTGAATTCTAATTAACTCGTTGATAACTTTTTTGTTGTCGTCACACTAAATTATTTCGTCGATTATGGAAAGATACCTACCCGTATGTATTATTGTAAAAGTGGGAAGTTTACAGTAGAGAAAATACTGATACCTTTATACCGGAAGCATTACAGTATTGTGCTGGTGTCTGCCAATGGAATCTCTAAACTATAAAGAAACGTTAAATAAGATACAATTTTTACTGGTTTGGATTAATATTAGGCTAGTTACAATTTTACTCTGTCAGTTGTGTCTCATACGAAAGGCAGTATGGTCTATCATGAGCAGGTGATTTCATGAAATATGCACCTTGAGGATGAAGCAAGGAAGTTTTTCGCAATCGAACAACATCATCTATTCACATCTCCATTAATATTTAATTTCCTCGGGGGAGGGAGAGGAGTGAACTGGGTAGTGTCTATAATATCTACATCTTACCTTTTATCTCCCTACCAGCTCAACTCAGCATTTGCTAGCAGGTGTATAGGGTGTAGGCTATTTATACTACCTGGGTGATAATATCTCATAAGTTAATGTGGACGTATGAGTCTGTTATATGCAAAAAATTTCAAATCAACTCATTGAACCAATGAACCTTTAATAAATTGCATGTATATTCCATAATTTCTAGTGAGTTTATCCCTGAAAATATCACTTCTTGTCTATTTCTGATATGTTGTAAGGGAATGTCATTGATCAGCTGCGACTTTAATGATCATCATCATCATACACGTACAGCTGATTAAACGAACAATTTAGATTTTCAAATGCGGACATTCATAGACATACATATATAAACATGAGCTACTATTATCTTCTACATAATTTCCGATTTTTCAACTCAGTTAGTTTATCTACTAGTAACGATCAAAGCATCTTATTGGGTGGTTGGAGGCAATCGGCAGGAAGCTCAGTCTTGGACCTAGGTTTCGTGTTAGTTGGCATTCACCAGTCAGCAAGGCGTATTTGCAACCTTGAAGGAACTCATATGCCTTCTGAGATTCGAACCCGCGTCATCCAGTGCTGCAGTCAATCAGAGACGTTATCACTGAGCTATCTGGGCTCGCAATTGACCTCCTGTAGGACTGTATTGGATACTTTGATTGGACACCTGCATCCAAGACTTCCTGGGGTCGATTGCCTCCAATCATCTAATATCACCATATCAATATGCACCATGATGGCCAGTTACCTAGAATGGTAGCCACATCTCAAACCTGAATGATAGAATTTAGTCTGCACCAAAGAAAGGATTAGACACATCACACTAGTTAGTAGTGTCCAATCAAAGAATCTAAGCATGTATTTCTTAATCGTTCTAACATAGAGCGTGTATTGAAATATCCTTGCACTAACCTTAATGATGATGAAAATAATCTTCAAGGCTAGGAACGAGTGCACAACACGTTCTAGAGATACTTAGATGCTTAGAATTATTTAAACTGGTGAATCCACATTGATATAACTCATTACATCATCTTGTTAGCCATGAATTCATCAAAATGTTTTTCTCGAGGGAAAGGAGAATACTGGTTAAGTAAGTTTCAGCAACCGATTTTATACAGAAGTGCAACACTTCGAGTTTCTACACTCTGTAACAGTACAGGAAAGCGACGGAAAGAAAGAATTCAAGAGAACTATAATTGTAGTGGTGGGATACAGACAATGTGTTCCAAAGGGATATTATTCCCACAGTTCACTACTGCATTAGCAACAGAAAACTGCATATCCGTTTGAACATTCTATTCTGTGTGGTTAAATGTAAACTAAAATCGCACGCTCAGTGATTGGTTACAGAATATAAAACTATACAAATATAAATAGCAGTTTGATCGCTTGAAAATATACCCTGACTTCCGTGTCTTACCTTCAGGTGTTACATAATAACCAGAAATGTGCTTGAGAAAGAATAATAACAAGGGAAAACATTACGATTCAATGGATGGGCGAGATCATAAGGAGTGGAAAAATCTGGGTTATTGAAGACCATTTAGAGTCACGCCAATGATTTTCCTGATTGCAGTAGATTGGATAATGCGATAGGCAGTGGGTAATGAGGAAACAGGCATAAAATGGATCCACACAAAAAACTTGAAGGATCTGGACTTCACCGACGATATACGTCTGATTTCCCACAAACTGGAAGATATGCAAGTGAAAAGCTACAAGTTGGCGATAGAAGAAGCATCAAAGATAGGCCTTCAGTTCAGGTGAACATAGAGAAAACAGAGGTGATTAAGATTCCCGGCCAACAGAAACAGCAGCAGCAACAACAGACAACAATCAGCCAGCATAAATGGGAGGAACTTGAAAGAAACAACCTCCTTCACCTACCTGCCTGAGAAGCATCGTTTCAACTACAGGCGGAACTGACGAGGATATCAAAGCCAGAATTGGAAAAGCAAGACTAGCTTTCATTACTCTTAAGTCTGTGTGGAGGTCAGAAGCACTCAGCATAAAAATGAAAATAAGATCCGGATTTTCAATTCCAGTGTGAAGTCAGTGCTACTTACCATACGGATCAGAGACTTGACCAGTCTGTCATAAAGAGCATCTCAAACAAACTACAGACCTTCATCAACAGCTACCTTCGCTCAATACTCAAGATCAGATGGCCGGCCACAAAAGATCAGCAACAGGGAGGGATCTCTGGGAGTGAACCAGCCCAGCAGGAACCGATTGTGCAACAAATAAGCAGGAAGAAATGGAGACGGATTGGAGACCATACTCTGAGGACATCACTAGACAAGCCCTCGTGTGGAACCCGGCAGAATGGGAAACAGCGAGTTGGTCGTTTGTGCGAGGGTGACTTGGAGGAGGTCATGTGAAGGGGAGATGAAAGCATGTGGGCAGACTTGGGGCCAGGTGAAAACTCTAGCAGAGATTCGAACGCAATGGAGACGTACAGCTCAAGGAATTAAAGGAAATAATAATAATTTATATATGTATATATTTTTAGTGTATGAGTATATTGATCAATTGATTTTTGTTCAAACTTAACTCTGTGCAAGTATGTTAAAATTGTTGTTGTAGATATATTTAATAATGTCTTTGCCATGTAAGCAGCTGACGAGAAGGCAACGAAATAAAAGATTATCTTCAGTCTACTGGTTCGTATTCTACTGTTGAGATTCAAGATTTCCCTACGAAATCAGTCATCATTCACCTCAGATTTAATATTCATTTATAACAACCTTTGTTTGCGTTTATTTTTGTGTTATTTCTATATTTTTTTGTTTTTGTTTTCCTTACTCTTGTCAGTCCTCGTTGTAGTTGTGGTCTTACATTCAGTGAACATTCATCCAGTGTACAAATTGAGTCTGTAACACCTCAACAAAATTCTAATTTTCATCCTGAATTATCAACTACCGGTGATTATCATTTAAAAGTTTCTAATGAACGTTGGCATGTTAAAACGCACACCCAAGAAATACCTACAAATGCTTATGGAACAGTTGAATTTCAAGGTGGACCACATCCAACTAAAGCTCGGGTTAGTATTATTATTATTATCATCACTGGTAATATTATTCATTCGTTGCATTCTGAATGAAATATACGGCTTCAGGAACCCATTGCTATTGTATTCATCTGTCTCTCATCGCTTTAAGTTAGCTATACGACTACCTGCAATCATTCACTATCTTTTTACACATGGTCTGCATCATCTCACTCTTGGATACTCAATGGGCCATCTGATATTCAGTATCGAGAGAAGTCACCAAGTTGGAATTATTGGCAGAAGTTAGAATTCATGGGCTGGCCATTGGATCGGGTCCCAGTGGCTTAATAGTCTACGAGCTCGCTGGCCTTGTAACCTGGGTCCGGACCCTGCGATGCGGGTGCATACTGATGAAGAGTCCCAAGATAGGATGAAATAGCTGTCCAGTACTCCCATGGCAGTTTTCCAATGGTGGTTCTCTAACCAATTTCAGCTCATGATGAAATCCCGTAACCAAAATGTTAAATGTTTTTTGACTTTGTGTATTTGAAGAGAATAAAAGGAAAACGAAACCCATTTTCTTCGTGATTACTCGCGAATTTAACCAATAATTTCTTCAGTTAAAGACATTGTTATGTTATGAATGTCTCATAACTATAGTGATTCCTACAGATGTTGCATCTACTGATATGTTTATACTGGATTCGACGCTGAAAACTGTTAGACAACTCGACTAAAGACCGAATAACATTGTTCTTCATGTAATACTAAACACACGTAACTGTGAAACAGGCAGTTGCACTGCAAAGCGAATTTGGATCCCTAACTCAACTGTGACCCTAATCCCCACCTAACCTAGCCTTAAAATAACCAGATATCCTGTTTTTCTACGCTTCTTTTAATAAATATTTTGTTATTAATCTGGTTTCATTGCCTTATTCTGACTGAGTGATCCAGGGTTTTTGGTGCATTCATGCCTGTTGCGGAGGGGGAGGGGAGTATTCTTTAAGTTTCCCATAAATAAGAAGATAAGTCTGGTCTGTGACGGTGATTACAATCAACTTTACTACATGAAGGTATATTATTATATGTATACATTGTTAATACTGAGAGAGTTAAACTAGTCTCAATGCTAAAATAACTAAGCTGACTGGCTGTATGAAGTTGGGCGTCAAAGGTTGCCAAAGTAAAATTTGGCTTAACCTTAACTACCCCAGCAGTCAAATGAATCAAGGCAGTATTAGATGATTGAACTTGTGAAGATATAGTTCATTGGCATAAGCAATTGGCTTTCAACTAGTTGGTTCTAAACTGAAACTAGGTAGTATCTCATACAATAAGTCGTCTGGTTTTTAGGCTGGTACATATAAAATATGTTCTGAGTAAGTGACTTTTCAAGCGTTGGTTACAGTTCTGATTACGAGCTAACGCCAGTTAAAAAAAAACTACTGGAAAACAAGAGAGTACTGGACAGCTTTTACGTCCTAGTTCGAGACTCTTCATCTGCATGTGCACGTTGGGGTTGGAACTCACAACCTTTCGGTTACAAAGCAATTTCGTAGGTTATTCAGCCACTAGGTTCAAATCCAACGGTCTACGAATTCCGAATTCTGCGTAATTCACGATATATATATATATATATATAGCGCAACTTCCTAGCAATGCGACAGGCGAGAGACTGTTCTCTTACGTGACTTTGTGGACTCTGCTATTCATGCTTCTCCAATATAGCTCTCAGTAACCTCTTGGAGAATCCCAAGCCAGGCGAAACAGATGTATAGCACTCCCAATTTTTCCAATAGTTCTGTAACTAACTGACATTTAACTGTATGACCAACATAAGGAATATCTTGATTGGATACTAGTAACTAATGTGATGTGTCTAGTCCTCTCATTGGTGCAGACTGAATTCTATCAGTCAAGTTTGCAATGTGGCCACCATTCTAGGTAGCTCGCCATTACGGTGCACATCGATTTGATGATATTAGATGGTTGGAGGCAGTCGGCAGGAAGCCCTGGACCTATGTTTCGTGCTTATCGGCACTCGTCAGTAAAGCGTATCTACAACTCGACTGACAGAATTCAGTCTGCACCAAAAAAAGGACTAGACATATGACACCAGTTGATTAGCATCCAATCAATCTAAATAAGCTGGCTTTAGACTTCACAGAAAACTTACGAGATATGCTATTTTATAATCATCCTCTCACTTAATATCAGACAGGCTATGGTTCTTATGAGATATGATTAGAAATCAATGAGTGTGGTTATTTTTAACTGAATATATCAGAAAAATACTAAAGTATATTTACCAGATTCATTCATTTTCAGTTATATCCCCGTGATTAAACTGACAGATAGCATGCAAACTGGTTTTAACAACACTACGATGAATAATACTTCACCTGCTCCAATTGCAAATAGCATTCCATATCATCAGTAAATAAAATATTCACTCATACTTATCGGTTAATCAATATTTTCATTTTTGATGGAATGATATCTTGAAATAAATTATTAATAATTTTGATTTCGATTCATTCCAAGTCAGATTTCAATCAAGAATCATGGCATCAGTAAGAGAAACACTGAAAAATAACAGATTACTGGACAGCTCACTGCCGAAGAGTCTCAAATTAGGACGAAACACTTGTCTAATACTCTGTAATTTTCAAAGCTTCTCTCTTACTGATGTCAATTCGTGATGAAATCTCGTATGGTAAAATGATAAAAATGCGAATAATCAGTTGTTTCTCCTTCCTTCATCATGAGTTGACATCGGTCAGAGAACCATTGGAAAACCAGCTGACAGTATTGGACAGCTAGCTGTTTCGTCAGTCTATTTTGGGACTCTTCATCAGTACGCATCTGCCACACGAGTTTCGAACCCAATGCCTTCTGGTTACAAGGCCAGTGAGCTTGCAGACCATTAAGCCACTGGGACCCGATGATCCGATGGCTGGTGCATGAATTCTAACTTCTGCCAATTGATGCATAACATAGCGCGACCACTTCGCATTGTCTTCTTCGATGGGTAACTGTCCTCACCTCCGACCTGCTGAATTCCATAGGCCACGGCTTACCAGTGGAACGCCTAATTATCATCTAGACTGTTGGTAATACACACTGTTATATGATATGATTAGTTTTCCTTTTTTATTTAAAATGTCGAATTGGAAAACGCTGAATAACTTAACAAATAAATAATTTATGGAATCTCCGGGGGGGGGGGTATAACAGGTGTTGCCAATTCATTCAAATACAGAATTTGTTCCAGTATATCTGAATAGCCTAGTGGCATATCTTTCACTGTCAGCTATGAAAACACCTCCCCCCGCACTCTTTAAAATTCGATGCAATGGAAATCAAAAACTTGTGAGACTCTTAAGTTATCTGATCTCTGTGAATCGAAGCAGATCTTTAACGTATGAGAATATGAGCAGAGTGGTATTCAAACCCGAGGTAAACAGTCTCAACTGTGAGGCAGGATTGGTACCAGAGACTTATCATTGTGATACCATTACTGACGAAGATATTCACATCTGATGTTTAAGAGTATAGTGATAATTACTCATAGAAATCAATATTCCAACCAATGAAAACAATAGATGTATGGGAGTTAGAGTGTTTAGTCAGTTGTGAATAAATCAGATAAAGAATTATTTTTAAAAAGTTCAAAAAGCTATTGGATAACAAGTTTGTCATGCCTCAGGACTTCTAACAAGTGAGTACTCAGCATTTCATACGATATCTAGCTGAAGCTTGTTACTTCAGAAAAATCTTCGTTCTGTGTGATGAACTAGTGGATTCTGATCTCTTAGTGTGATAGTATGCTGATCATGGTGATACCTAACACTTCTGTGTCGAGTGCTGAGTACGACAGATGTGTAGTTTTGAGCCGTCCTCAAACAAGATGATCATTATATTATTATTCCCTAGGTTTCCGAGTGGAAAATAAGGCACCACTTCGTCCTATCTTATACAGTCCTCTTCTTGCGGGTTCACGATCGCCTATAATCTGTGATCTTTTCTTCGCACGGTCTCCTTCATGTAACCCTCACACCGACGCCCAACTCGTTTTTTCCCATTCGGGTTCGACTTGAGCACTGGCCTGGTGTGCGATGTCATTCGATGGTCGGTTCAACATATGCCCTACAAATGTGATAAGCGATCGGCTCTTGGTTGGTTCGTTGCCAGCCAGAGTTCCTTCTTGTTAATTCTCTGTGGCCAGCTGGCCATTTGATCTTCAGTAGAGAGTCATAGAAGGGGGCAGCTGTTGATAAAAGTCTGCAACAGACTGTTGGTAATCCTCTTCGTGACACACAGTGCAAGTTTCTGACCCATATAGAAAGACTGTCCGACGTGACACATTGGTGTTGAAAATCTGAATCTCATTTAATACTATCCAACTTTAATGAGTCCTCTTTAATTTTCTTTTTACTAATTTTATGACGGTAATTACACCATAATTAACTGATTTAGACTGTATCAGATGATCAGAGTAGTTACTCTGTCACTAGTTACGTGAGAATTATACGATACGACATATTGAATACACTACATCTTTTAGTGGTAATCTCTTGTCAACTGTGTTCACAATTTCAAATGTAGCATGATTAGAATAATCTTATCATTATTACTATTTATTACAATTATTACACATAAAGTTACTGAAGAATAACCCCCCCCCCCCGCCCAGGTCAGTTAAAGCCGTTTATTAATATACTCTGGAAGTGTTTGAAACGTGTTAAAATGAATTTATGTTTAGGCGTTTTTAAGTTCAGGTTTTTAATTACACTGTCCAAGATGAAATCTCATCATACCCTTGCAATAGAATCTTACAGTGTCTAACAATCAAGATAACCCGTCATTCTTTTATACGTGTGAAACATACTACTAATAATTATATGTTTAGTATTATTATTTCTAATAAAGTATAATTATATTTTAATAGTTTACACACAATGATAAGTTTCGTAATTGGTAATTTTGCTCGAAATATTACCAATAACAAAACTATTAAAATATAATTATACTTTATTTGATCTAAT